GCGATGGACTAGAAATCCATTGGGAATTTCCCGCGCAGGTTCAAATCCTGCTTGCGACGGCTTTTACGCGTTTCAAAATCCGCTAAACGTGATGTTTCAGACGAAAGAGGCGGTTAACGCTCACGCAGCATTCAGAATAGGCGAAGAGGTCATATTGAACAGTCGGAAACAGTGAGACCTTGACCTAGTTAGATCGCAGTGGAGCGTGTGAAACGCTGCGAATTTGTGATAGAACGGAAAAGCCGACTTGCAGTTGGCGAGAGCAACTTGGCTATTTTCAGGGCGTGAATGAGCCGAAGAAAGACAGTATTGCCCCGGAACCGGCCAATGCTCACGATGGCTACGGCAAAGCGGCATTGGTGAACTCGCGCCAGGCTGAAATAGACAATAACGCATGCTGCTGAATAAAATTTATGTTCACCAGCGCCCAAGGTCTCCTTTCGAGGTTCGACTAACAGTGGTTAGCGCGTTCAGGTCCCTATTGTAGACAAGGCCTCTGATGTGCAGCGTGCGTACCACAAATTGCCAGTAGAAGTAGGATGGTTAAGACTACCAGCCCGACGAGCAACGGATTGCCCTGCTAATAGAAGAAGAGAGTTCAAGGAGGCATGCTGTTCAGAATGGGCAAATGCGATCGCTGAAACATGACGTTTCGGGCTCTTGCTCGAAAATAGCATCGGAGGCAATCGCAGATAAGTGTGATGGAAGCGCGATGGATGCAGTATTCGTAGGAGGCTAACAAGCTTTGTGTTCCTGTCACCACATCTTTCTCTGATACTCCAATGCATTCACATTCTCAGAAATCCAAAAGAGGCCGACTTCTTGTCTTTTACAAAAAAACTGGGCATTCAGCCAGATGATTTTAGTGCGCTAAATAGAACCCATGACTTAGACGCTATAAGGCATATAGAGCACGCAACCACTCGACCCACTACCTATCGCCGATGACGCGGCGCGAACAAAAATTATGTTGGGTAAAAAAGCAGAACACCAAGCTCACTAGATCTGTAACAAGACTGGTATTCAAGACGCAGAACAAGTGCAGGACAAAAAAATATGGACTCCCGTGATTATTATATTTAAAATGTACTATAAGAAAACTATCAGACAAGCATAACATGAAATGCAGTCTTTAAGTCAAATAGGTATCTACAGAATCTCGACACTGGCGCAGGGAGAAACCGTACGAACGAACTTATATCAAACACATGCCCAAAATGAAAGCGCTTCGGAGAAATGTTTTTTTTGTTTGTTTGCGAGTGAATGCTTGTTGCAGTTCATCAAGTTGATGGCTTCGGTAGACTGTTCTGCTGCTGCTGTTGCTGCGCAATTATGGACTGTATCTCGCGTACATCCGGGGCCAGACCCAGGAGATAGAGAATGTGGGTCAACCAGAGAAAGATCCATTCGCGGAGAGCCTCGACACTAACAAGGACAAAAAGTTGGAAATTAGATCGTTAAAAACAAAGACCATTCAGAGTCACGTGTTACTGATGCTGATACAAGCACACCTACCGAATCTGAAGTCTATAGCGTCGCCACTGTATCCAGCCAAGGAGACGGGCGAGACGCGAGGCGGTCTTTTGGTCTGACACTTGAATTCGACTGCCGAGAAGGGCCGTGTAGATCATCAGTTCGTGTCGGTTTATAGGGTCTCCGTGACTTCGACAAATGGAACGGACCAAATTCAGGTTTCTGAGAAGGCAGAAACATAAAAGTAAGTCATTAGCCCTCAATTCCTAAGAACCAGAACCTTATAAGATAAACTAGAGGATATGGGACTCGAGAATCTCTGCAAGACGGAACGGACCCCGAATTGGTATTGTTTGTTCTGCACTTGGGTCAGCTGTCAGTTGTCTGAATTAGTAGATAGACCCTTCAACCTAGCCGGCGAAGCGAGTACATTAGGGTGTGATATGATAGGCATGACTAGTCAATACTTCGAGCGATCGTCAGTGAAGTTAAAGTTAATGCACTTACGCATGACAACAGACGCTTCAGCGCACTCATGGACACCTACAACGTTCAAGTCGTGATTCCACCGGGGCGTACGAAGGCCCGAACTGCCTTACCCCTGGAACCCAGCTGTGCGAATTAATCGATGGTATCCTCAACCTGGCTTGGAGGATGAACCAAAATTGTTTGCAGAGATTTTTCTGTTGAAATCGCAAAACAAACCGCATATAGGCAGCAACAATTCAACTTATTTATTCAGTTTATTTGGTGAGGGTAATAGGCAATGCTTTTGAAAATCCTACGGGTTACATGCCGGTGTGTCATAAACATTCATAGACGCAAGCCTAAAAATTGTCACTTCTAAAAATAGTATTCACAAACGATGAGTAGCATTGTTTTTATAAATAATCCTAGAGCTCGTGTGGTTTTAGTTCAAGTTCATACAGTCGATGGTCAACAGGGGACGCATATACTTATCCAAGCGTCCTTTGGAAAGCTGTAGGGACGTCGCCTGCACGACTGATTGCGGGAGGTTATTCCATTGTTTTATGGGTCGTTGTGTGAAGAATTCAGAGCGGAGATTAAGCTTAGACATTTACAGGAGAATGCGTCTCAGCAGTATGACGTTGTGGCAACAGTATCTTATGTAGGCCCACTCATTAATCCCTACTCCCCGCATGTTTTCCTACGAAA